CCATATGCTTAAGTCTAGTCACGTCCGCGTCTCTCTTGAACAAATTGATCGCGCTACGGAATTCGCCACGCTATCGCAGCTGTTAACTCGAGGGAGGGGGGCTAGCCTAATTTTCAACGGGGGGTTGCCACCAGATTTTCGCGAGAGGGATCGTTCGAAACAGAGATTCGACCTTCCTGCCGATCGAATCGAAACAACGTCAGCACTGGTCGGTCTGACGTCGTTAAAATTCGCAGCAATTATCTCGGTCCGTCGGGTCGAGTCGAATAAAATACGCCGGAATATGCGAGAGATTCTCGTCTCGCGTCAACGCAAAGGCAGGTGATCTTCGTTGCTCGCACGCGAAACGAGTTCTTCTTAACTTTCGCGACCCGACGCGAAATTTCAATGGAAATTACATCGGTGGACTGGCGACGAATTCGTTAAGCAAACAACTCGCCGGGAAAGAGAATGTAATAACGTAGGTAACCGAAAGGTAGCGTATAATATTCCGGGTGGAGGGTGGAGCCGAGGGTGGCGGAAGTTGGATCGACAAGGCGTACGCAGCCGTGCGACGATAACTTTCTGTATCAGCCGAAACGTAGCCGGACATGGCTAATTCGAAACGGCGGCGGCGACGGAGACGGTGGAAGTGGCGGCGGTCGCGCGCGGAAAATTATTCTCGCGGCGGCTGCAGTCGGCCGGCGAGAATGTTTTCGTTTCATAAATAAAACGGACCGCGCGTATCTGACTGCGGGGCGGACGATACTCCGCCTCGAGTTTACACTCATAACATCTGAAAGTTTGCACCGGTGGCCACGTTAAGGTCAGTCTGTTATATCCGGTAGCCGCGTTGCTCATTCGCGCGCTTCCGCTCCCAACCTACTTCTATCCAAGTCTCCCCGTCCAACCTTTTTCGTCTGCGACAAACTCGACACGATAAAAATCGTTCACTCGAAACGTTCGCGGGCTGCCTGAATCGAAAGAAACGAAAGACAACAGGACTTTGAACTTTCAAGGCATCGATACATCGTCGAGGATCGTTCAAAGGAAGAAAAAATCGCGAGGGTTTTGAACGAATCGATTTGTACAGCTGAAAATTTCTGGTTTATTCTCTTTCTCTCTCTCTCTCTCTCTCTCGCTTTCTGTCTCGGTGAGTCATATCCGATCCTTTGCATTAACCGAACAAGACGCGAGGGGGAAAGCACAGTAAAAGCGGGGATCCACGCAAGAGGGTGGTTCCGTAAGGATGACGGGGGCATACGGCAAAGAAAGAGAAAAAAAGTAATCAACGTAACCATATTTTACGGAAGCTGTGTATACGTGGCGCCGTATTACACCGCGGCCATGATAAAAATATACAACGTGGACGCGCGGGCGGACCGTGAAAAATTCCGCTGAAAAAAAGGTCTAATATAATATTTCTCCCCTCGCACGGCAATGAACGTCGTTGTAATTTCCGCGTAAAGGTTCTCGGTTCGATGATTAAAAAAAAAAAAACCCCTGTGTCCGAGGAAGAGCTCGGGAAACCAAACGAATTGTCGAAAAAGCAACGATCGCGCGAGGGACAGACACTCGAAGAGACACATTGAACCACCCCTGGAGAGAAACGGGAAGCAATAAAAAGCAACGTTTTGAAAATAATTCCCTTAAAATATTCAGGCAACGCCTGCGGCTGCGGGACGTTGGTTTTATAGCACCCTCGATAAGATACCAAAGATTTAGAATGTTCCAACGTTACAATTAAATTATTCATAACGGCATTGGCTTCGAGCGAGTGAAATGCTGGCTGATTTTCAGCTGAACGCCGACAGTTTCTAACCGGCTTTCGGTTCTATCGTGATTGTCATTTGCTTCGTTCCGCTACGTTCTATCTATTCTAATTTTCCTTTTCTCGGTCGTTTTATTAACTTTCTTATAGTGCTTTGCAATTTCCCCGTAGCACTGTTGCACGAACAGAACTGTGCAAGTTGCAGGTACGTACAGTGGAAAAATTGCCTTTATTATGAAAATTCGTTACGTGAAGATAAAGTGAAATATCGATTCTCGAGTATCAAGAGGGTTAATAAACACGTCAAGTAAAAATGACATTCTGCCAAGCATTTGAAACTTCCGTGCCAAATACGCCAAAGTGCAGCGTTGAGAGCCATTAAGCGAACTTAACCTTCAATCCTCTCTCTGCTATTTTCGAATTTCATTCAATTTATCCAGGAGAAGAAGATGGAACAACCAGGGAGTGGGATAAAAGAAACGGTCGATCGCGCGAGACGATCTCGAAAGACGGGTCGCGTTATAACCTCGTTCCGTCGCAGTCGAAAGCGCGCGTAAGAGCCTGTATACAAAGTCGGACCCGCGGAATGGAACGGAGCTAGAGCTAATAAAAAAAAAAAAAAAAGAAGAAGAAGGAAGGGCGTTGAGCGGCGGAAAAAGTTCGATAAGATAAAAAAGCAGCGCGAAGCGTGTATTAAAAGTGGAAGTAGCTCTTAAGTAAGACGCAAGGAGCAGCCTGATGACGAAGTTAGCCGGTGTGTGCCCCGAGACTGGATAGAAATCGTCGAGCGCTAAAGCGAAGAGATGCTTTCCAAATTGACCAAACACGCCGCGAGATAAGTCTGTTAACGACTTTACTAAGAGACGAGTGGTGAGAGAGAGAGAGAGAGAGAGAGAGAGAGAGAGAGAGAGAGAGGGGTGATGAGTGGTGTGCTCTCTTGCACAGAACTCGATGAAAAAGCTACGGGGATATGTACCGGGCCGGGTCTAAAAGCGCCATAAAAATTCTCAGTTCTTCAAATATCGCACGGAGGATGCAGGTGCTTACAGCCGCGCGCTAGATCCGATAAGATTAGTACATTTTCTGAGAAAACTACGCGTATTATCGCGCAATGTGTATCGTATTATCGTACGATACCTGCTAGCAATTGCACGGCGACTGTTGTTCGACGTGAGTGATTTCTCGATATTTGCAGAGGACAGGTTGTCCGACAGATGCAGTGACCTTTTCGTTAATGAGGAACGAGAATAATGAGCAGGAGGGCAAGGCAAATATTGACGTTCGCGCGATTTTCACGTTTGTTTTTTAATAAAATCGACGGGCCGCGATTTACACGGTACGATGACTCTTCGCACGCTCGGCGCGACTGCAATTTTAAACAGATTTATCATACGACAAACAAACGTTCCTGTTCCCTTCCTGTTACATTACGTTACATCGTATTACGGAGAGTGGACGGTAGATGATTTTGGTTAAAAAAACGATCGTAAAATTGGATCGAGGGAAATTGCCAGACTCTTTGGACACTAGATATTTTCAATCGCGAGCGACGATTTAGAATCTCCGTCTGTCTAAATCCGTGATTCTAAATTCGAAATCGGCACTTTTGTCTCGCAAATTTCCAGCCGAAAATTTCATAACGATCGTTTCCTCTATGGCACGGCCGGCCATTCAGCGAACCTCATCGTTTCTACGTTTAACTATCCGCCAGTCGGAATCACACTCGGGATCGTCGCTCGTTATTCGCTCATTCATTCGAGCGGCGCGATTCATTTCGCGGCGTAATGCGGCGGGAGTGGGTGGGCCGAGGATGGGCCGCGAGAGACGAGACTGCCGTCGAAAAGGAAGCGGATATCTGTGTGCGTTTTCCCAATCTCCCTGCCGCCGGTTGAAATGTCAAGAGCGGCTTCGAGTGGTTCACGCCTGTGTAAAGAGGGACGGAGAGAGAAAGAGTGAACGACGAGGGTGGCAGCGCGAGAGGAAGCAGGGAAACGGGGAAACGCCGGTGGAACAGAGACAGCGAAGGGATTTCGAAGGAACAAGGAACACCCGACGGCTTATTTGACTCGTTTCATTCGGCGCGGTATATATATATATCTCAAGTTACATTTATGCCTGTGGAAAGAGCGGCTTTCGAAGGGATTCGCAGGAAAGAAGCGCACAATGACGACGAGACGAAAGGATAAAAGCAAACTGTAGCCCGGCGTTGTAAATCCGCGGTGACCCGGTGGCCTCGTAAAATACCCCAACTGACAATGAACCGCCACCGTTCGGTTTCAACGCGAGCATATTTCGCCGGGGGGACAGCCCGATGATGCGAATGACCGACCGATACGCCCATCTGAGAATGTAATAGCACGGTTTGTCGATACGCGGATACATCAAGCCGACCTCGTCTTTCCTGTCCTCCTTCTCGCGATCCCAACTGGCGTGAAAATAGCTAACCGCAGGGAGGTGGGAGGATAACGCGACAGACAGTCACAGTCGGTCGTTTGGCGCGCCACGCCATGACAAGAAGTCGCGTCGTTCCGTTTTTCATTATCCCCGATCGATGACGCGTCGCTCCCGTCTGCATTTCTTTTTTCCTTTCCCTCCGATATTTTTACGATCGCGAACGGTTCCCATCGACGTGGACGGAAAACGCGGTACGGGAATATCCACTCTTTGTTATGTAAACGCGTCGCGACTTAATAGATTTATAGAAATTTATGAGAGGCTTAAGCGTGATCTACAACGGCTACGCGCCGATGAGCGTGAAGCAGGATAATGGTGCTCTCTCTACGTTCGTCTTCCTTCTCCCGTCGCCCTCGTACTTTTATCCCATTTCCGTTTCCCAGGGAAAGGACACTCTCTTTTTTACGCTTTCGAACGGTATCTGGAGGCGACTGTTTCGTAGTAACGACGCCGACGTTCCGGCGTGCGTGCAATTAAATCCACGGAGGTGGCTCTGGCCCCACCGTCTGTCTCGCTACCACGGATCGTAAAGTTTATCGTGCAATTTGCGTAATGTGCGTAGAAAATTCTAACGAGAGTAAAGAGCACAGAGGAGAGTGCGGTTTCTTTCAATTAATTCTCAAGCGGCGCCCACTGACGGCCGCTCGCTGGCCAAATAAATAATCGAGCATTAAACGTGATCTTCGCAGGAGAGAAGAGAAAAAAGAGAGAGAAAGAGAGAGAATAATAAGGGAGGAGAGATTCTAGATCCAACTTCGGGGAATTAATTAAAAGAGAAACAAAACGTTTTCGTTCGTTCATCAAATTCTTCGTTTATTCCATTTTTACAGTCTTCAACTCAATTCGTTTCGCTGTCTGTCCGACATCTTCTTATTGTTAGATTAGATACAGATTATCCTCTGCGGTAGAGGTAGATCCTTCGATTATTTACAATTTACAAAAAGGCAGAGCCGCGCGACGTGACGAAGCGCGATACATTATCGTCATTGTCGCGTCGTTTCGAAAATCGGTACTGGAACGACCACCCATCTTCGCAGAAGAAAGGGCGCGTAGATAGAAAAAGAGAAAAACCACCGAAAGCAACCACCGGTACAAATCCTCTTTTAATTTCTAACGTCCCTTCTGGGCCAGGGGAAAGAGGCAAGGCCAGAATACTGGTAATCCCATTTGTCTTCCAGATTCGGTCCAGCCGTTGTCAGGTACAAATGTAAAGGGCGACGAACAGGTACACGCGATCATAGATTTCTACCTGTTCCGATGGGCGGACGCCTCGACAAGACAACCGCCGAGCGTTCTCCTTTCCTTTTCCGTTCGACGGGGCCCGTTCGGATCCTGGTAAACTTTTGTTCCCCGGGGACGGCGACTACGCGCAATTAGAAGGCGGGACACGTATTTCGATGGCGAGGGGTACCGATCGACGGCGAAAAAAGCATTTTTCACCGGCGATCTCGCGCCGGCAATTTTTATCCGCGCGCTTTATGCGCCCTCCCTCACTTTTCCCCTCCCTCTTTCTCTCTTTCATTTTCTCTTTCTTTCTCTTTTCCCTGTAACCACCTCCTGGCCGTAGCTGGAAAACACACAAATACATAGGGAATTATGGGACTAAATTACGCGGTACATTTTGAAAGAGTAGGCGCGCGCTCGCTATAAAGTAGCCAATCGATGGGAAACCATTTTTTCCCGACTCGTACATCATGGCCGAAATCGAAACTGACAACAAAAAAATAAAAAAACCCACCGCTACGCGTATGGCGTGTAATAAATCACGGTAAAAAGAGCGCACGCGGCCCTCTTTTCTCCCCCATAGCGAGAGAGCCTGACGAAACCCTAGCTTCTCCGTTACTGTCTGCCTTTTTGATCTGATCTTACAAAGCGTCCTCTCTCTCTCTCTCTCTCTCTCTCTCTCTTTCTCTATCTTTTTCGTACGACGGGAAACTAGGAACTAAGGATCTTCTCATCTTTCTTTTCTTCCTGAAGCAGGATCGTCTTCCGAATATTCGATACACGAAAATAGGACCATCCACGTGCTCCGATACGAAAATCTTTACGAACTTGTTCTGCCGGAGGGACGAATTTGGAAACATTCCACTGCCTATATTTCGCTGGAATCGCGCGACAAAACGACAAGACATACCGCTATATATTCTTGCAAATCAGCCAAGTTTATCCCTCCAAAAGTATCTTCTTCCTCTCGAATATTTCGAACGGGAAAATAACGCGGGCACGAGGATGGAAGGTGATTCGGATCGCGCATTGTTTGGCTAAATATATTTTTCGCGTAATCCTGTAAGACGGCTGGATCGAGGGGGTATTTTCAGGGAGAAAGAGGCAGGGCTCGTATCGATGCGGCTTATCAACGGATCAGCCGCTAATGGATGCGTTCGCGGCACAAGGCGTGAATACGCCGGTTCGTCGGATAAAAAAGGGTCCACCACGCACCAAGGGTCCCTTTCGACCTACGGATCTCCCTCGAGCAATCGGGCGCTGACCAACCACGCTACGTAGCCTGAGCCGAACAGCTGAAACTGAAGCGTGTCACGAAAAGTTAACGCGACCGAGCGAGTTCTCCGGTGGACGCGAACGGCCACCTGACACGAATGAAAGAGACCGTGTGTGAGGGGGTGCGAGGCCATTGTCGCCGAGGGACAATTCCGAGGGATCGGACGATCAATCGGCTTTCCTAATTTCCTCGTTTCCGCCATACGATAAACCGAGAAGTATAGCGTAGCCGACTCGACGCGATTCAGCTGCGATTCGGACGAACGCGACATCCATCGAAACGGCAAAACTGTTCCAGACACGTACTCAGAGGTTAATGACTGTTTTCTCAAAGGAAAGGAGGAGAAACGAACTAGAGCAGGTTATAAACATTAATCGTTTAACGTAAGATCGTGAATCGTATTGTGGAATATTCTATGGAAAGAAGCGAAGATTGAAAGAAGTGGAACAGCGGTCTCGATTTAACATGCCACGGAGAAAATTGGCCATCTGTCGCAGTATGGATCGGCAAGCTGCGTTAAAGGATGCTAGAGGGTGGCGCACGGGGTATCGAGGGCGCGTTAACGTTAAACATCGACGAGAGTGAGGTAGGTTGTCGCGCGAAATAGCACGTCGTCGCCTGTATTGAATTCAGAACGACGGCAATGACGACGACGCGCCGGTGATAATCGATTGAAGGTAATGTCCGTACGCGAAACGAGCGGATGATGTAATTTCGACTGTGTTCCTTTACGCGCTGGCAGGCAGCCATCCGATAAAGGCGACTTAATTGCTAAGTGGGTGAGAATTGTTGCGAGCCCGTGCCTCACGTTGGAGGGTGAAGTTCGATCAATAAAGTTTTCTTGAATTGAACCGAAGGCGAGGACAACTGGCCCGACACGACCACCGGTGACAAAATTTCACGCGTACAACACCGGCTCGTACACTTTTCGATCGGTCCATATGTTCCCCGCAAAACCCGCCCGCCGAGAAGATGACCCCATTCACAACGTTCCGTTCACAATGGCGCGAAATGTGCCGCTGTTAAATCGAGGCCACGGGTCGAGGCCCGTATTCAATGAAACGGCCACGGGTCTCGTTAGTTTGTCATTTGGGAATGATATATAATTTTATAGTATTGCCGTTAGAGAGGATATCGCTGTACCGGTACGTGTTCGAGCATTCGCGGAGCGGAATCGATCGTTGAAGCGTAGTCGACGATAAATCCGATCGAACCACGAACGCGGAGTGGAACGAACGGTGGTACTCGAAACTTGACGGCGAAACTAGATGGAACGACCGATTCGCTATATAATAAAAATCGGACGAGCGACTAAGCCCGACTGTGAACAGCGAGATCCTTTCTTTCGAGACGACTCGACTTCGACGTGAGTCGAGAAGAGGGACGAACGGGAGCGGCTTAGACTCGAAGCGAACTGGAAATGGAATCGGTATACTTTGCTCGCTAGATATACGCCGATAAACGATCAATGCGGAAAGTAAACGCTGTTCTTTTGTGAAGCAGCCACCGGGAAAGAGAGAGAGAGAGAGAGAGAGAAAACGTTTATCTTTAAAGATAGAAAGAAAATCATTGCTCTTGGCTTGGATTTTCTGGAAGCCAGAGTTCGCCTTCCGTCAGAGTTCTATCCCGCTCCCGCGATCGTTTCTCTCTATTGTCGTCGATCTCGACTCGGACGTCCATCGTACTCCTTCCAACGAGCGGAGGTAAAAAGGGAAAAAATCAAAGGGGCAGCCACGGAGAACGCAAGAAGATTAAAATAATGGCTCTTACCTAAATAATGGCAGTTCTACGTCCATTGATGCTGCACCGGGGGCGGTGGCGGCGGCGGCAATGGCAGGGGTCTCTCCAAAACAGGAACGGGGGACACGTCTGGCATGGCGAACCTTAGCTTCTGCCAAAACAACTTGTCCCCCCACACCAGCACGGTGTGCGACGAGATCCTCTTTTTGAGATCGGCGTCGAGATCTCGTGGACACACACCGCCTACCAGCAGCAGGATCACCGAGCGGCCCTTCCCTTTCAGAGCGTCCCTCAGTGCCGCTTTAAACTCGAACCTGGCCCACTCGCCGTGCAGAAAGTTCTTCGACAATACTAGAATGGTCCGCCTCGAAGAGTCGGCCGCTTCCGCTACTGCGTCGGCCACGTTGCTACCGGCGCTTAGATCGCGGTAGTGCAAGCACAGCCGGTACGACGTTTCCAGGCCAGGTACCAGGATCGTTGAAACGAACGCCTCGTCCACCGCGGAGTAGGAGATGTACGCGTCGAAAGGTTTCTCTTGATCCTCGAATGCCGCTGTCTTGTAACACGCTCTCAGGCCGCACCTGCTGGCGGCCCACGTCCTCAGCGTGCGACGATGCCTGAACGCGCCGCACACCAGTGCCACCATGGCAAAAATCAGCACCGCGGTGGCAAGTAGTAGCGGCAGATAAGCCTCGAGCGGTCGAGTCTCGATGACCGAGGTCGTTCCGGTTAATGCCGCGCAATTTATGACCGATCCGTTCGCCGGAAGAGTAATAGGCATACCGAGGGAACAGGTGACGCTCTTCCAGTCGCTTATCTTCGCTCTGTTACGGGACATCCATTCGCGCATCCGGTCCAGGAACGAGCACTCGCAACTCCATGGATTGCTAGACAAGCCGATGTCGACCAGATATGGATTCTGGCCGAGCTGCCAAACGGCGAAAGTGCCGAGTCGATTGTTTTCCAATCGTAACACTTCCAGCTGACGTAGCGGAAGGAACGTTCCGTTATCTATATACGTCAATAGATTGTTCTGTAGGTAGAGTTCCTTCAGGTTCTCCAAAGGCATCAGTTCCACGCCGTTGAGCACGCTTATCTTGTTGTTCTCCAGATGAAGGACCAGCAAACGCTTCAAACCGCTGAAAGTGTGATTGCGTATAGCGATGATGTTGCTATCGTTCGCGTACAGGATCTGCAGGTTCTTCCGGCCGATGAACGAATGGGAATTCAATTCCCCGAAATTGTTTCCATCGAGGTAAACCTCGGTGGCGTCCATCGGTAATCGGCCGGGCAGGATTTTGTAACCGGAGTTGGAACAATCCACCACGTTCGCCGACCAGGATTGATCGTGGTAGCAAGTGCAGTTGATCGGGCAGGTCATCTCGCAGTCGCAGGCGTCGAAATCGCAGCAATGACACAGCGCGAAGCAGTGCGCCTTGTACGTGCAGAGGAATTGAGACGGCTTTGCCTCGAGCAACGGTATGAACGACTTGTGACGGTCGTACGGAAGTCTGCAATACACCGACTCCAAATCCATTACCCTCGGATGTTGCCTCAGCGACAACGAGTTGATTCTTTGCAACCATTCGGTCGTGCAGTCGCATATGAAGGGATTACCGCCGATGTAGAACTCTGGTAATTGCCGATAGGCCGGCACCTGCGTCAATTGAAACGCCGACAGATTCATCTTGACGATCTGGTTCGCGTAGAGATCGACCCTGGTCAGATTGATCTTGTCGAAAAACGTCTGAGGCTCGACCGTCTGTATCAAATTGTCGTTAACGAACAGAAGCTCGATGGAATCTGGTATCGACCTCGAATGTATCCTCGTTAGCCGGTTGAACGACACGTCGAGCGTCTGTAATCTCATGCCCTGTGGCGCGAAGCCGAGATCCATAATAAGATTTTTATGCAGATCCATCCACTGTAATTTCTCCGGCAGGTAACCATAATCGAACTGCACGATCATGTTGTCGGACATATTCAGCCAGAGGAGGCCAGGCGCGCTCGCGAACATACCGGACATGTCCTGCAACAAATTCGAGTCCAAACGAATCGCCTGTAACGCTGGATTCGCGGAAAACACACCGTCCTCCACCATCTCGATCCTGTTCCGCGCCAAGTTCAATATCTGAAGTGCGGGAAGCTCGGCGAAATCCTCCGTGGTGACGTTCGTGATCTCGTTCCCGATCATTCGTAACCCATAGAGACTGGACATTCCACGGAAACCGGGTCTGTTCAGGCTTCTGATCTGATTTTCGCCAAGGTCCAGCGTACGCAGCATTCTCATGTCCTTCAATGCGACCGGTATGCTGTCCAAGCTGTTCCCGGACAGATTCAGGTCCTGCATACTGGAACAATTTCGAAAGGCATCCGGATGAATACCTTCGAGCTGATTAGAATCGAGCGACAGCAGAGAAAGTGCGAACAGCCCGTTCAGGGAATAAGCGTCCAGGTAAGTTAATCGATTGTACGCTAGATCTAGCGTGTGCAAATTACTCATGGGCGCGAACGTGTCCGCTGGTATCGTCTCGATTTCGTTATATTGCAAATTTAATATCTGAAGAGTGTAAAGATCTTTGAACAGGGCTGGATCCAGTCGACTGATTCGGTTATGGGACAGATTCAAGAGAACCAGACGAATCAAACCGGAAAACGTGGCGGCGTTCAACCAGGAACTGGTCAACGCGTTCCTCGATAGATCCAAGGCGACCAGCTGATTCATGTCCGCGACCAGACCCGGTGACAGCACGCCGATGGAATTGTTCTGGAGTCGCAGTTCCTTCAGCGACTTGGCCGCGTCTCGAAACATTTCCGTCGGCAACGCGACGATTCTGTTGCCAGACAGGTCGAACGTCTCGAGAGATCTGAGCCCGTGAAGCGCCTCGTCTGCTACCCTGGAGATCGCGTTGCTCGACAAGTTCAAGACGCGAAGCCTCTTCAATGACGAAAATCCGTAAGCGGGCAGGACAGAGATTTGATTACTCGACACGTCCAACGATTGCACGTCCAGGGAACAGGGGAACGGCGACGGGGTCGATTCCTGCTGACGTCTTGGATGTTTCTCCGCGATGTCCCTGAATCCCAGCTCGGCGATATCCTTCAGCATGTTCCACGAGACGTTCAACGATAGGAGGTTGGACAACGGACAGAACAAGTGTTCCGGTATCTGCCAGATATTGTTCCACGATAAATCAATCTTCTCGATCTGCGGCACCGAGTCGAACGCCCCGCTCTCCAGCTCCAAGCTGTACTTGCTCTTTCGTCCGTTCAAGCTCCTGATCGTCAGATTACGTAGATCCCGTAGACCGCTCAGAACTTTCGCCGGCCAATGGACCAGCTTGCATCCGGTCAACCTTAACGACCGCAATCTCCATAACTGAACGAATCCGTCCACGTTCAATATGCCATTTTCCATCGATTCCGAGTCATCGCAAACGACGTTGATCGAGGTCACGTACTCGCTGGTCGCTTGTGAAAAGTTCGTCCTGAGGGAATCGTTGCCGGCGTAACGGTGGATGCAAGTGAGCGCGCCATCCTGCCGCGAGTCCCACGAACAATGCTCCGGTAAATCGAGTCTCGGCGGTAGCTCGCTGGTCACCGCGAGCACGTGGTACACCGGAACGAGAAGATAGTAACAGCAGAGGAATGACAGCGACACCGATCTCCCGAACCCTTTCCGACCGACGAGCCCACGCATCTTTAGCGAACTCGTTGCCTTCCCTTGTTTCCGCTTCTCCGTCCACTTCCGGTCATCACACGCCGCTCCCCGTTCAATTTCCAGATGCCCCGTTATTAACGCACGTTGTCGTCGCTCGTGTACGCCCTCCAATATTTACTCCGAGTGACTGGCATGTGTGTGCCCCCTTCCGGCAATCGATACCGGTCCAACTCACCTCGGCCTCACCTCGAATGTCGTCAGATCGTTTCAACTATCCCAACGAGTTTCCCCGAGTTTCGTTAATGGGAATTCAAGGGGGTGAAGTTCACTGCCAGTCGACCTGTCATCCGAATGGCACTTCGCTCTGTGAACGATTGCGAGAGAGCACCCGTGCCGGTGCCGGTGCCGGTGTTATCGCATTTCACTGTAAGTGCACCCAAGTAGCGGTGCTTACACTTTAAAAGAATCACACTTCACTCGCAAATCGTTCGATCCAGCGCGCGCGCGAGTACCCTTCGTCAACCTGCCCCGCGAGCGCTACTACACGTTTCGACTTGCGAGACACTCGACTCGCTTGACTGGGAAAGTCCTCGACGATGTACCAACGACGAGACAAATCTCCGGATAATTACGCACGCGTCGGGATGCTCGGTGGTTTCAGTCCGCGCATCCCGTGCGAACGTTCGTTTCCAACCCCTGCCTATCGAAATGCTAATTGTTCACGATCTGACTCACCGGGGCACGAATCAAACGTCGTTTCCAAAACGTGACGAGATGCTCGTGCTTCTGCTCGACAAGTTCTCACACGCGACACTGTGCCTCGCGTTTCGTCAAACACACCAGCAGCTCCGTAACTTTACCGACGAATGTCCCATTACCGTGTATCATCGATTCGCATTTCCGATATAATCGACACTTCGTTCGAGATTACGGTCGATATCTCGCTCTCACTGAATTTCCACTGTTACCGGCCGAAACGGGACAAGTCCGCGCGAGTTCTGTACGAATGAAAAGAGCAAGGGGATAGGACAGACTAGCCACGAATTTATTGTACCTAGAACCGTGACACTCGGTACGGCGACCACCGCGCAACTGACGGTTGAGATCTCCACAGCATCTAACTCGACGCAGCGTCCACCAATCGTTCCTTCCCCCACCACTGGCGGCAGCACTAACACACCGAGGGGACCGGCATTCAACGAGCACGCGCCTCTCGTCGACCGGCTATGGTGTAAGAAAGACGGCATACGTTCGCTCGTACTCCTCTCGTCTGTCTTTTGCCAATCTACGTGGAAATCGCGCGCGTTTCTCTTCCACGAGTGTCGGTCTGTTACGTAGTTACACACGCCGCGGATACGACGAACGCAATAGTGTAACGCGTGAAAAGGGATGGACATACCGCGTAACCTGTCTTTATCTTCTCGCCGTTGCGTTTGTGCGGTCGAAAGTGTTGTATTTGAACTCGCGTACGTGTTGTGCTCTCTCTCTCTCACCAACAGGACATCTTACACCTCGACGTCCACGGCCACCCTCGTCTCCACGCGATGAAATCTTATTCCTACGTGGGCGACCACCCTGGTCTACGAACGCTTGCAAACGGTAAGAATTTAATATGGCGCAATATGGCGTGATTTGATCGTAGGACAATTTCGGAGCTGCTATTGCGAAGTTAAGTTTGGCGAGTCACGACCTGTCGTGTTCTGTTTTCGTCGCTCGGAATAGGCAGCTTTGTTTACTTTTGCTTGCGTTCTCGGCCACGTTGGCTAAAGAACTTTTTGTTTGCGAGCAGGGCTATGTTTATTGTTCGTTTATCGAATATTTGAAATGCAATATGGCTGCTCGATTGCGTAAGCTTCTGCGCAGGCGCAACTTTTTAAATTCCTTATTGAAGGTAGGCGCGAACGTTCCGTATCGATACCTTTTATCGATCGTTTCAAGTGAATCACATATCGTTCGAGAGCCATTTTTTTTTTTTTTTTTTTTACTATTATTTATTTTAATTCAATAAAATGTTAATACTGTTGTGCAAAGAAGAAAAATGTGAAAAATGAATATCAAAATATCATTCCATCACAGATGGCGCGATTCTTCAACATTTCAAATACTTTCAAATATTTGATACTGTCTGTATCACGGTGTATTATCATCAGACAGCTAATATTTATGCAAATTCGAATTTTAGCATAATTACAATATTTACATGCGAATTAATTAACTCTAATACAATTTAGTAGATGATACTCTCTACTAAAAGGAGATTAGAAAAACTCCGTATTATGCAAAACGAAATGTAGAACCGGAATACTTCGTTAGAAAATGAGAACGTGTGCATATATACAGAACCGCTGTACTTAACTCTTTAAACGCTACCACGAGTGTTTTTACTTTTCTTGATTCTTCATTCAGCACATACATAAATCATCAATAAATGTAGAAACATCCGCCGTCTAAATATTAAACGGACGCATATATTCATAGTAACTTGAAGTTATTCGAACAAAAAAGAGAAGCGACTTCGCGGTCGAAGCGGTAAACTTGCACGAGGAGAGCCACGAACCGGTCTCTCGTCTCCTCTTGTCGCTCTCGTTTCTCTATCGCGATCCACGTGATATTCAGAGCACCACCCTTGTCCGTGGACTGCTCATAAAAAGGTTTCGATCAATTTTTAAGTGGTCGGTTGTCCAGCGTGCTTTTCTGTTTCTCTTTCTATGCGGTTTCTCTTTCTAAGGGGGACGATGGGGTTCGACAAGGGAGAAGGGAGGTTGAGTATTCTGTCGGTTCGAGCGTGGGTACGTATTTATACGCGCGGCGGCGATCCTCGCGGGCCATCGAGATGTTCGATTTGTGTGTAACACGACGAACTGACTCCGCAGGATTGGGTCCTTGATACGCTTTGAATAAGCCTCGCTGATTCATTCTTGTCCACCCGTCGAGAGACTTTCGACTTGATCGATGATGATCCCAGATGATTTGTATTATGTTCCCTGTCGCGATGAATTGAATTTCGAGGAATCTGCGAGCGCACAAATTCGTTTCGTACGGCGCGCGGAGCGAGGGATAAGCGGCCTGGAAAGGCGCGGAGATTAGGCCGCGGTTATAGCCAGCGATTCGATTAGAAATCTCGAGCGCGGCGTGCCCATTCACACTCCCACGCAAATATATGCTTCGTTTCATACCGACGTGTTCGACGGCGAGAGTTTCTTACCGGGAATGATTGATCACCGTCTTAATTGACGCATACCAAGACGAAAGAGATCTTCGACGGTATCACCTGTTACGAGGAATTATCGGTCGTAAATGAACGTCACGGTTGCTCCGATTGCTGTTCTTCGTTCGTCCAGGACTATATTATTTAATCCTGACAGAGATACTTTATTATCTGGCGGTAATTAACGAAGATTTCAAACTGTCGACTGATCTCCTTCGGCTCGGTATTACGTAATGGTCGATCGGTAAAAATCGACGAAAACCGAATGAGCATCGGGACGGTATTCTCGAAACGTAATTAATATCTATCTCTTAGGCAAAGAGGGGCGAGATCACGCCTTACGGACGATCCGTAATTAAAACCGTTAGGAAATGGGGGGAGGATCGTGAATCGTTATAACTCCGACGGAAAGCTCGCGGGAGGTCTACGAAAGTTTCGTTTCGAGCGAGAAACATTCCGGGCAAAGTCAACTCTGGGAAGTCCTAAACTCCGACGTTTGCCAGAAATAGGTCTCTGTCGGTGAGAGCAACGATGCACGTGTACACGTTCTTCGACGGACAGGTGCTCTCTGGTGTAAGAAAGGATCAGAAACACTTGTTCGCGCTAGATAACTTCCTCCACTTTTCGCCCTTGTTTATCTTATTTACACTCTGTTTTACCATTTACCCTTTTCCAACTTGCTCAAGAGGATCTCTCTCTCTCTCTTTCTCTCAACTATCGAGGTCGATAAATCGAGGTTGGCCGCGCGTTCAGCAGGGAAACTTTCCTTCTTCTTTCCTATTCGAAAATCAATTAGCTGCAGATTCAGTTTCCATGTAAAAAAACGAGCGAATCACGTTGGTGACGCGCGCGATCTTCTGGGCGGAGTAGCCGGTCCGACTCGAGAATGACGGCGGAAAAGAAGTTTTAATTAAAGCTAGAATAAGAGTTTAATCGAGCAAAAGGGATTAATTGCCTAGGGGTTAAAACGAGCGAGGGGTCAAAGAGAGGCTGCCTGCCCGCTTGCTTCTTCCTCGATGATTCCTCGTGGCTTTCTCGAGTGGCGTGGACAAGAGAGAGCCGCCCCCATAAATACTCGCGTCGAATGCTTCTCTGAAAGCCCTTTTTCGTTCGCAAACAAAACCGGCCCGACTCGATACTCGTGCCAATGGGAACCGATGTTATTAAAAGCTACGAGCTTTTCTGGTAACGTCACAGTCAGCGTCGTTCAGTTCTCGAGCACTTCGCCAACAAGACTTTTCGTTACCAGCGCGTATCGATTCTTTCGACGCGTCCGCGTACAGGGTGGCTTGGTCGCTATTACGATCTTCGATAGCTTTCTTCGATAGGAATTACCGTACCTCCGTACGGTAGGAGAAAAAAACTTCTGTATTTTTCGAACAGTTTATTATACTCAGTTCGAAGAAAGTTTCGACGAAAAACTCTCGTGACTTTTCTGTAAGCTCCGCGACGTTAATGGCGGTAAGTCGGAATTACGAGATCACTCGATATGTTACCGTGAAAGTGTTCACCGCCATGACTCCGCAGTCTTTTGTGATTTCACAGAATCATTAGCGGCCGTAGGAAAGTTTCCAACGCTCCTCTTTCTCTCTCTCTCTCTCTCTCTCTCTCTTTCTCTCTCTCTCTCTCGATCTTTCGCCAGGCGATCGTAAAACGTTCAAATTTAATACCTTCATCGCATCAAAATTTGATATATTTCGCGCTCCAGTTGCATTAACGTGTCTAATTGTTTATTAATTAAACTGTTCGTTAAAATCGGCGAAGCCGTTGACGTGCATAATCGAGAGGATCGTGTTAAACAGGATATCATTTTGAAGTGCGAGGGTATCGTTCTAATTAACTTGCGTCGATATTATACGCGAATAGCGAACTTTCTATAGAATCAAAGCGACCATTTGACGAGAGCGCGGGGTCGATCGTGATACACGTGCGCGGGAAAAACATGTATCTCTTCGGCGATGTCGTTGATTTGACGGTCCTTAAAGCGTATAAACCTTGCCGGTGTGTCACTCGTGTTCGTTAAAATAACGAATGGTACGGTTAAAAGTACAGTGAACACGGTTCATCGATTCGGTCGCGTAGTTTTCCAAAAAACGAAAAAGAAAGAAAAAAAAGATCAGGATCCGAAAAACATTCGCCGTGGCGCGACGCGAGATTTCGAAGGGTTGGGAGGGGAAGGGGAGGTGCATCGATGCTCTTCGGGATCGCTTTTAACGGACCGTATAGCGGCGTCGATCTATGACGTTCAAAAATTTCTGGCGTAGAACGTTGCAACGCGGCGTTATAATGTGTCGGACAACGGCATGCTTTACGACGATTTGATTTACATTGGATTTTTCCGGGCTGGCAGCGGTATTTCAGCCGTATGGCGTATCGAAAAATCTACGCAGGCCAGGCGAACGGTGAAACGCCCACATCTTCGTCCATTGCTCTTTGTCAAACAAGTTTGTCAGGGTGGTTCGCGATACGATAGGAAACACCGTGCATAATGGATAGCGTGTCGCGCACGGTAAACACCTGGTCGTACCTTTCATTTTATGTAAACTTGGGAAAACATTCTAATTCCGGAGTTTCCTAGGACAGAAAAGTAGGATACACATTATAGAATCCTATGCGAGATAAACGTATCAGGATAGTTGGAAATTTATAGAAAAGTCGACGTGTAACGTGCTCGTGAAAGTATTTGGTCACTTGTTGTAGAAAGATTTATATATTTCATTAATGCTGTAATGATATTGACGTTTCAGAATAATCAGGAAACAAGGTACTCATTGCAAATACATATTTAATAAAAATGTTAACAAGTAATATGAGTAATTATTTTAAATAGAATATCGAGACTGTCTGTGATCCCATAGCTCTTATTACAGTGTTAATGAAATTTCAAAATGT